GAGCAGAAGTAAAAGAGGAAGCCGTGGTTGGGGCCCTCTAGTGTGGCACCCACCACCAGTGTGGCAGGGTGCCCACCAGGAAGGAGAGGGGGTGAGTCTGCCTGACCTTCGGAGTGGCCATCTACAAGCTTCCTGTATCTTTTCAATCACACTTCTTCATTCTGTCAACAATCAACTACACTTAGGGAATTTTAGCTATTTTGGTTTTTGTTGTTGTTGTTGTTTTATGTGGTATTGAGCATGGGGCTCAGGGCCTCACAATAGGTGACCACTCTGCCATACCACCACTCTTGACTTGGTCTCCCCCACACCACCTCTTCTCTCTTGAAACAAGGTCTCAGTAGCCCAGGCTGGCACTAAACTCACTTTGTAGCTGAGGGTAAGCTTAGCCTTCTACCCTACCTCCCGAGGGCTCGAACGGCGGGTGAGCATCACCACACCGGGTTTGTGTGGTGCCGAGGGTCAAAGCCGGGGCTCTGCGCCTGCGAGACAAGCGCTCTATGGACCGTCTGCATCCCCAGCCCTTTAACCTTATCTTTTTCTTGCGCTTCCGGTGGCTAAAGAACAGCATCTTGTGTACTTTGCCTTCCTCTGCCGCTCCCTTAAACCGTTATCCTCCCTTGATGTGACAGATACATCTACCGCCGATCCACTAACTCGCATCCTCTACTCACAGCAAAAGATAATTCTGTAAAAGGAGACTCGCGTGCAGCCAGCTCTTTTATGCATTTACATAATCTTCTGCTTGAGCAAGCGCTGAAAAACAGTTGACTTTTTCAACAAATTAGTATCTTTTCTCATATTGGTCTTGTAGAGCATGTTAATGCAAACTTCAACCGTCCAGGATGCAACATTTTAGAGCCTTAACTGTCCCGTGTTGTTTATTCATTTCAGAACCTCATAAAGCACATATCCGACATACTATCCTAAAAGACAGTGTTTGTAAGGAGTTTGTAAGATGATTCCGAGGAAATCATAGGTATAAATCTTAGAGCCAGCACATCCATCCAAGGAGAGTTTCTTGTTTTCTTCAGAAATATTTAAGTATGCATATCTCCACATAAATGACTCCATTTCTTTTTTTAAAAAAGTGTATGTCGGAAAACACATGCAGGCACTAGAAATAATGTTTACAATTAGTTCATGGAGGTTTCATGAAAAAGCCAATAATATGGAGCACAAAACAGATGAGAGCCCTCTTCCTTTGTAAATACAGAGGGAGAAAAAGACAGAAGGAAATAATGCCGTGAGGCTCGGGAGGGTTTCCCTCTGCTTCTTGTTCTCCACACCTTCCACGTTTTATATAATAAGCATGCATTGGCCTCTTTCTTTTTTACATTTTAAAAGTAACCCATGTTCCTTGTAGCCATGCATTCCTTTTATAACTGGGTGGGGGGGAGTAGTAAAAGCTGAAAATGAAAAGGTCATTTAGGGTCTTCTCTCAAGGAATACACCAGCTTAAGAAATTATGTAGCTGAAATACCAATAGCCTTAAGAGACATTGAGGAAAAGTCATAGCTGGGTCGGAGCATAGGGAGGGAATTACTGTTTACTCAACACCAACCTCGGGCCTTATGCAGGCAATTTATACAGGTCTCATCTCATTTAATCCTCCCAATAATCCCAGGAGGCAGCTACTGCAATTATTCCCTTTTAACAGATCCAGAAAGAGGAGCTCGGCACAGAGCCAAGACTCCCCCAGCTCATGCAATGAGGGAGGCAGGCTCTCATCTCTGGGCTCCAGCAACCAGGCCTCCATCCCTGGGTCGTGGTGTCGCCCCTCAAATTTAAACAAGGCAGCATCTCTCTAACCCCAGGCCCCTTGGGACACACTGGACACTTGTCCTCTCTGTGATAAAGACTGAGTTCCAGCATGCCCTTGCTCTCCATTCCCCAAATAATATCCTCTGCAGTAAGTGTCCAAGCTGAGGAGAAAAGGCTGGGATAGCTACCCAGCAAGAGACAGCCTCTGGGCAGACAAGTACCCCATAGAACAAGCAAGAAAGGAGACCCAATGAGCTGAATACTTGCTCCACAAGCATTAGGCCAAGGGGAGGAGGCTGCTAAGCAATGCTCAGCTTTTCCCAAGGCCTCCATTGATAGCTCCTCCCTTTCCTTGTAGGCACCCAGGAGCTAAGCAAGGCCATGGGATAGATAACAAGGTGGATGTCAGCCCATGCCACTCCCAAGGGTGAAAGTGCATGCCAGCTTTAACCAGCAACAGCACCTGTCCAGTGTTTCTATGCCTAAAAACCACTGATCCTCATCATCTCACTCCCTCATTCCAGATGTGCAGAAATACTCCCATACCCTTCTGAGACTGTCAATCTGCCATCCTTGGAGATAGAGATATTTTTCCAGTTACACAAGGCAAGTAACAACCGATTTAAAAAAAAAAAAAAAAGTCTGAACCAGTGAAAGGCCCTGGTTGGAGCCTTTACTGCCAGGACAAAGTTGCATTTGGGGCTTGAAGGTCAAATGGTACATAGCTACGCTTTGTTTGTTCTTTAAATTGTCCCATTGGCTGACAAGTTCAAAACCAAATATGAAAGAAGCCAAGTATGGTGATGGAGTAAGGATCACCTATAGTCCCAGCATTCAGGAGGGACTGACTCAGGCAAGAGGAAAGCCTGAGCTACAGAGCAAAGCCCTGCCTCAAACTAGGAAATATGTGTGTGTGTGTGTGTGTGTGTGTGTGTGTGTGTGTGTGTGTATACATATATATATATGTGTGTGTGTGTGTATACTTTATATATATGTATGTATGTATATATATACACTTTACACTGAAGAGCAGATTCAGGGCTTTGCTTTAAATGATAGATACATGTACAATACTAGGACTTTTCCCGCCAACAAGGCACAAGTCAACTGAAGCTGTGTGACAGCTGCTCCTCTGAACAAAGATGACCTCTCCAGGGACAGTTCATCCACGTGTGTGCATCCTGCCTCGGGTTATAACCCTATGTACGATCAGCACCTTCTGTCCCTGGAGTACGGCTGCTGGAGATGGCTGTGCTTCATTCCAGGGCACAGTGAATGAGCAAAGGAAGCCTTGTACTATGGAGAGAGTTGTCAGAAGCAACAACCATAGAGGCATGCCAATCTGATATGGGCCAGTGGCAGAGGCCCCAAGGAACCATGATGCCAGCACACAAAAGAAGTCTGGGGTCAGAGGGCATCTGGAGACAGACGGTGGGATGAGGCCACACAAGAAGGACAGGGACACCCCCATGCCTCTCTTTCAAAGGACAGAAGCTAACAGACATCTGCAATACTGGAAGCAGGCGCTCTCACTATTTTATGTGTGTGAATATTTTGCCTGCACAGATGTAAGTACGCCACATTTGTGCAGGAACCAGCAGAGGCCAGAAGGGGGTGTCAGACACCTCTGGGACTGAAGTTACAGGCAGTTGTGAGCCACTAGACAGGTGTTAGGAATCAAGCCAGGCTCCTCTTCAAGAGTGGGAAGTGTTATTGACCACTGAACCACATCACCAGCCCCAGGAGCATCAGCCACCAACACCACCACAAATCAGCACTTGGGACTGGAGACCTGGACAATTAAAACATCCTTCATCCTTCAAGGCTTACAGTGGGGCAGTCCCAAGGGCTGACCACCCTCTCCATCCTTTGCTGTACCTAAAACCAGGAGGCTGGCCAACACGCATGAAGATCCCAGCACTAGCTACAGACTACATCCATCACTGACTCACCTCATCCTTTAAGATACCAGGGAACTGGCGGACAGTGTGTAACCCCACGGGGACAGGGAGACCCTGGGCCCAGCAAGCCCAAGGAGAGACTGACAGACAGCATAGCTCTCAGTCACTTCCTCCCTGCCACGTAGCCCTGCCAGTTCTGGGAAGAAGTCCCTGCGTGCTGTGCTTCCAGCTGTACCCTTGTGGCACTTCAGGGCACTGGCACCACAGTGGAGCCCTGCTTGTGGTAAACAAGACAACGAGGAAAGGGAAAGAGCATGGTTGAGCAGACGGCAGGGCCTTGACCAGGAATCAACAACAGGAGAGAAGTGGGGAGGGGGGGCGCTTGAAGAGCAGCCAGCCAAATAGGAGTGGAGGGAATACACAAGGATGCATCCGAAGACGACAGACATCTGCCAGTGCTGAAAGCAGCAGTTTCCACTCTTTTATGCGTTGCGTGTGCTTTGCCTGCACTCTACAAGTACACTCCACGAGTGCAGGTGCCAGGGGAAGCCAGCAAAGGGTGATGGCCTCACTGGCTGCCCACCTGTTGCCCCTGCCTCGGAGTCCCAGCCAGACAGCTGCAGGGAAATACTGCTGCACCGGTCCGGCTAAGATTTTCCTGCCATTAGAGCTAGTCCAGCTCCTCTCTTTTCCTGAGCAAACAGCGCCCACCTCCGGCCCAGGCGACAACAACGCTTCCTAGGCCCGCAGCGCTGGCCCCGGCAAAGAAACCGGCTGCTCCACACACAGTGGAGCAAAGAACAGAGAAGCCAGGCTGAGGACCCGCGGGGCAGACGCACCAAAGCCCCACAGGATGTGCAAACGCGCCAGCCAGGCTGTGCGACAGCCAGTGCTTATAAGATGAGCTCCGTGCGCCGAGCTCCTGTGGGCTGCAGGCCACGAGAAGCTTCTGGGGAGGTGCACGCGACAACGGCACGAAGACACACCCACCCACAAACACGCGAGAAACAAAGACAACCCTGAGCTCCACGCCTGCTCAGCGGCGGCGGCGTGGAGCACACACGCGCATCCACCCAGCGTGAAAAGAAGCCGCACATTCCTGCGAGGAGGAGACCTGATTGCAGCGCATAGAGACTTTTCGCTTGCTCTGACAGCACGGAGCCGCCCTACCTTGCTAAGCCTGGGAGGACACACCACCATCACACCTGGCATAGCAGCAGGCCGACTAGGAGACTCTGTACAACCGACTGGGTAGCAACCCTGCCTGGACCCATTGCTACATGGCCTCACTGGCTGCAGCCCAGTGACTCATGCATGGGCTTAGTGGCCACTCACCTTCCTGCACCGCCTGGAACGGGTTATTGGCCTCGATGACCTTGATGGAGTAAGTGATCTTCTCACTCTGCAGGATGTCATCATTGAGGCTCAGGTCCGATACAGCCAACTGGAACACCCTGTCGTCCTTGGCTGCGTTCTCCTCAAAGATGGCACCTGAGAGAGAAGAGGGGTCAAGACCAGGCCTGGAGAGGAACCCTCCTCCCCACCTTACTTCCAGCCTGGGGTCAGGGCACTGCCCGGACCTCTAGGTACCAAGTGGTAGGAGGACTGAGCTAGGATTTTGTTTTTGTTTATAATGCTTTTTTGAAACAGGTTCTCCTTCTGTAGCCACAGCCGGACTTGAATTCATGGTGATCCTCCTGCCTCAGCCTTCCCAAGTAGTGAGATTACAGGCATGAGCCACCAGTCTTAGTTCAGGATTCTGTTTTGACTGGGTAGTTTAAAGATCTCCCAGCATAACTCAAACAGGATATGCTCCCCTCCCCCACATCACACAAGTGCACACAACATGAGTTACACATGCTTATCCTTCGTGCTACCACCAGGTCACATGGGCTTCACAACCAAAGCATCACATGTCCCAGCCATGTCCCATACAGAAGATGTGGCAAGCTGAGGTGCCTCCCACTCAAATAAATGCACCTGACATGGTCCCATAAATCCCATCCCAGGAGCCAAAGTGAATTCTCCAAGAGGACAATGTCCTCCAGCCCAATCCCAGGATGGAGTGATGACTCCTTTTTCCTTTACATTCCATGCTGAATGCAGAAGTGAGAAGATGTCCACAGTTGGCTCTCCTGCACAAGCGTTTTTTCTTTAGGCATAAGGCATTGATAGCCAGCATCTGGATGGTCAAGATGCTGCATGGCCTCATGCCTCTGCTCTTGTCTCTCACTTCCTCTTCCTGTATGTATGGAGGGGTGGGGCTGTATCCTAAACCCCTAAACATTATGATCTAGCCGTACTGAGAGTCCCAGAAGAAACCACTCTTCAACGGTCCTTCTAGAAGCAAGGACAGCTCTTCCGGAGCTCCGGTCGACCTGACGCTTTCACTGACCCTGCGCTTACAGCGGAGATCAGTTGGACTGCTGCTTTGGGGTCCTCACCCCCAGGCCCCTTGCCAAGCGCCAAGGGTCGCCAAGGTCCTATTGCTTGGCCTTGTAATTGCCCTGGAGCTGAGAGCTGGGTAAAAGGGCTCAGCTCCCGGATTCCTCACTACACTGGAGCCGCAATGCTGACCGGGAGACCCACGCCGGCTCCTGGGCGGGAAGCAGGTTTGGATCCTGGCCCCGACCCCGGAGGGGAGCGCTGCAGCCCTTGGAGTAGGAACTCGGTGCCTCACCACCCTTTCCTCTTTCTGCCCCGCGGGTAACATCAACCACGTTTTCTCACTCCTCCCAACCCCCAGTTTGTCCCTGTTCGCTGGTCTTTCCCAACTTCCGGAAAGGCGACTGCGGAGGGGCTCCCCCAAAGCGGCAGCTGACAGCCCCCCCCCAAACCGGGCCCAACTTCATTCTGCTCCTAACTCCCGATCGATCGCTACCCCTCCTCTGATCGTCCTTTGCTCTTCATCTCCTTCCTCCCCATCCATCTCTTCCTGCTCAGCACCCCCCAACCCACGGCCCACGCTCCTTCCCTCCACCCCTACCACCCAGAATGTACGCTGGCCCCAAGACTTAGATCAGGCAGAAACTCTGGAACTGTCCAGGATTGAGCTGCAGTTGCCACAACCAGATACACACACACACCCCCACACCGAGAGCTAAGCAGACACACACCGGGGAAACAGGCAAGCACTGTGTCCACTCTAACAGGCTGGCAGAACGCGGTAGTCGCACTAACACACGCTCAGATGGCCCCACACACCCTAACGCCCTCTCACAGTGACACCAACACTGTGCCAGGTGCACACACACTGGCACGCTGACAGCACCCATCCACAGTCACACATGGTTCCGCTTTGGCCTCTTTGATCTTGCCCTGCCAACTTAGCTAGCCCCCTGCTCGGTCCGTCCCTGGCCCCAGTGCTCAGGCTGTGCCGAAGGGCCCAGCCTGCCGATGGCCCCGCCAGGGACTCGCATCTCGACAAGCGTCTATCCCCGGGTTCCCTGCAGCCGCGGCCCTAAGTGTCGGCAGAGGCCGCGGGGCCCCGCGCACTGGCAGGAGCCCCGGGGAGCAGCGAGGTGCCCGCAGGAGCGCCGAGCGGCGGGAGCACAGCTCCTCCGCGGGGCGGCGCGGGCCTTCGGGGGACCACTGCATGCCGAGCCCCTCGGCCCGGGGAACCGACAAGTTTGGACGCCGCGCATCACCGTCTCTATTGGGGGCCCCCGCCCAGCCTCGGCCCGTCCGCCCTCCGAGCTCACCGATGTGGATGATGGAGTCGGCCCGCACCGTAACGCACTGGCATATCCAGGGAAGAAGCCACAGCGTCAGCGCTTCCATGTCCCCCGGGCGCGCGGCTCATCCGCCCGGGCCCGGGGCGAGGCCGAGGGCAGCGCGGAGCGGGGAGGCGCGGG